GAGATTGTAAAACTGATTGATATCTTGCATAGTTCTGTTTATTTTCACTTTCTGATTGGAATTTCTTGTATTTAACATGGTAATTTCAGATAGTGTGTGAGAGAGATAAAAAACATATCATGGGGTTAATGAACTCATCTTCATACAGAAGTTCTACATGCAATCTCCAGTGTTGTATATAAGCTCCTTGGGGTAGTGATTAGGGCTTGTCAGATTTGCCGGCGACGCCACACGAGGATAGTCAAAACGTCTGATAATGGTGTTGATTCTGACATGATTCTCTAAAGCTAAACTTAAATTTGACAACAGTGCATCCTTGTCATTTTCTATACAGAATGAAAGGGAAAGACTGATGTTAAATTTAGTTTTTAAGTTTAGAGAATCACGCCAGAATAGACACCAGTATTTGTAAATATCTGGACTGCGCGTATCTTTTTAATAAGCTTAAGTGTTTAATGTGCCCATAACCGAAATTCCTGTCCAACAGTTGATCTGTTCGAGATTGGTTTGTTTCATTACGATAAAATATCCCTTTGTTTTTACGATTATTCAGGATTTGATATATTAAAAAGAACTTTAAAACGTTTTGATCGATGGTGCCACATCAAGCTGCAATGACATCCGCAAATCGTTTGTATTTAGAAATATCATTTTATAAGTATTTTGGTGCTGCGTTACTAATTTATTGTTTTATTTTTAACTAGAATGGAATGACCAGCTCTTACATAGCGAATCCAATGTAATGTATAAATTTTAGATACTTTGAATAAAATGTCGCTATAGAACCACTGTTTTATTTGTATCAGTATAGCTCCTACATATACAATGATGTCGATTCTGGCATGATTCTCTAAAGCTAAAAATTTGACAACAGTGCATCCTTTTCATTCTCTATACAAAATCAAAAGGAGAGACTGATGTTAAATGTAGTTTTAAGTTTAGAGAATCACGCCAGAATCTACACCAGTATCACCCTTTGCTAAACCAAGGAAGCGAGGATTGTTTATACGCAATAATTTGTATTATGAGCACCACGATACCGTGATGATTGTAGTTTGACAGTCGATAAATCGCTTTAAGTGTCTCACAGACATTTACTGCGGCCCTTATTGGTCGACCGAGTGATCGTGAATACTCGCTCACATTGCAAGCGAATACAACTGGCCGTCTTCACAAAACGCCTCTGTCTGTGTCAAACTTTATCGTATCATGTTTTGATGGTCATGCTAAGGGGGCTGGCGTTAACGTTCCAGTCCATCGCACAGGGATTTTGCGATATCGTATCACATTGTAACTCGTGCTTACTCAGGAAATTTGGAATATACTGCAGGAGTGCTGCCCTTCCATACACCAACCAGCCGCCCGTTGCCACACACCAATCAGTAGTCCTGAGTAAACGGTCACCACAGCTTATAAGACGCATGCGATATCTTATCACATTGCAACAGCGCCGTTGCCTACAACCTCCGCACCTCCAAATCCTCCCGACAGAGCATCGAGATTACGGGTCATTTTTTTACTAACCAATATTTCTTTTTACTGATGTACTAACTAACTGGTCACTCCTGTCCAGGGGTAGTACGCGCGCTTTAGGCGTGAGGTGGCAATGTGCGGTACCAAAGCAAATGCGAAAAGTACTTATATTTAGTGAAATCCATACTAAATTAAGATCGCCTATCAAGGGCGCAAAAAGAAATTCTCTCTACCGCGATCAAGGGCCTGGATCGGCGCTGCTCGCTAAGACTATGGTATCGTATTAATACAGTTTTAATCCTTAATTTTTCATCTAATTCTGACATGATTCTCTAAAACTAAATTAAAAGTCGCGGTACTAAACTCTAGCGCTGACTGTTATTACGTAGAAGTAAAAATTAAGGGGTGTATTCCGAAATATAAATCAGTATACTGGCCAGTGGTGATGACGTACTGGTATGCTACCATATTTTTACCGGGAAAACGAATATGACGTATGACCGAGCGTGCGTGATAAGCATTCAAATTTTATTTCTTTTTTATTTAAAGAACAACAGCGGCATCGGGACAAAAAAAATACGTTTTGAATTGATGAGGTGAATAAAAAATCTTCTTTATTCGCACTATTTTTAATATTTCGTCGATTTATGACGTGAGTGCACTGGCCAGTTTATTTCGGAACAATTCACCAGTATAGCGCTGATTCATGACGTCATTAGCACTGGCCAGTATACTGGTATATATTACGGAATACACCCAAGATGTGTTGGGAGGAAACGAGGTGCGCAGGTGGGCGTGCGTTGCGCCGATTGGCTCTCCAGTCGTACCCATGCGCAGCTAAGGGCCCCGTTTTTTTCAGCGCTAGAGTTACGTGCCGCGTAACCTTTTAAACATCATAATGCATGAAAGGGACGACTGCTGTCGAATTTGTTTGTAAGGTTTAAAGAGCCGTGGCAAAATCAGACCTAAGGAAACTAACTTTCGTGCTAACTCAGGACCTTTGGAATATAATGCAGGAGCGTTGCCACACACCAATCAGTCGTCGGTTAAACATCACTCAGACCCTACCTATCGAATTACTTATTGTCAATTCATACATATACGCAGAGTCGAAGTGAATTTCAGAACCAGTAATATAGAGAATTTACCGTATCTCCGCAACGTAATGCACATATTCCTTCCAAGTTGATAATCTGCGAATTTGGTCGCTCCTTCTTTCTAACACAGAAAGAATATGGCGGCACGCGGCATATGGGAATAAATAACTGGACGTTTTTTCCCAGTCGCCCCTGCAGGGATTGCCACCGGTGAGAAATGGGAATGAATCCATTGCCCTCACCTGATCTTTTTTTTCAAGAGCCTCCGATCCCCGCGGGGGGGGGGGGGGGCGATTTACGTGTACTTTACACAGCGTTACCAGACGTCCCGATTTTTAAATCCAAATTAAATGTCCCGCGCGGGACAGGCCCAATCACGTTTTTCGGGAATAGCTCGACCGTGTGTGCAGGGTACTAAGAAAGCGCGGGCGGGTGATTGGCACAAACAAGTGTAGTAAAACAGTGTAGTTAAAGCAGGGTGGCCATAGTGGCAGCAGGCAACCTGCTTAGACTACACTGTATATTTCTCGCGCTTGTTTTCTGAGTCTGAATCTGAATCTGAGTGCACTCTGGCCGTACCCTTACGCCCGCCGCATATGACCACACTCGCACCCGTTCACGACACTGCGCCAATGTCTCATTGACATTGGTGGACACGTGTGTGTCCGCAATTGCTTTCACGATTCGTACATCAGTCAGTGTATCTACTAATCGTAGACGAAAACGAAGCAAGATGGACGCGATTGGTATAAGTTCAGAATCCGACAGTGATAGCAATTTTTGAAATAGATTATTGTTATTAAGGAAATCATCCAGAAAAAAAATTTTGAAGAGCTCTTACATGTCTAAAAGAAAAACACACGGAGAATTCATAATTTCTTCCGAGTTTTCAGACGAAAAATTCGACGTACGTCGACACGTGAAAGCAAATGCGGAGTACGCCATAGGTTTTAAATTACCACTCGCACGCGGCTCGTGGCGGCCAATGCAATGCAATGTGTGGGCATGTGCGGCGGCGCTTATACAAATACTCACACATCATATTTTTATTAAAGTACATTTTTTATGAATATTTTTAATAGGTCACGTAAACGTAATTTGAACTCAAATAAAAAGAAAAAATATTCAAAAACTTTTGATTATATAGGTTTTTTTTACTTTGTCCCGCTTTTCATGTAAGAATCCCACTTTTTTCACTCAAAAAGTTTCTAAATCCCGACTTGGCAAAAAAAAATCTGGCAACGCTGACTTTACATTACATTTCGGAGATAATAGTGAATTTGCATTATTACGTTTATGATATTGGCTTCGACTCTGCAGTAGTATGTATTGACCAAATTAGCTATAGTTTTCATATCTCTTATATCATGAAAATTTAAGTATAAATAAATGATTTGGAAAAGCCAACTTTGCCTCAGATGACTTCATACTACATGTTTTTTAAAACGCAATAAACATGCTTACTCGCACACATCAGCAATAATAGAATTATAAGATAAAGTAACATTATATCATTTTATTAAAATTATTGGTAATGAGAAAGTGACCTTATTTACATAGTCATGGGTCATTGTTTATGATAACTAAAATTATTTTTTCTGGTGAGTCATTCTATTACTCTATTACATAAGGTGACAAATAGCACATATTTTTCCCCTTCACTAACAATATGTAGTTTTTTTTAGTACCATTGATAACACAATAAAGTTTATATCAATGTGCCCCAAATGTATATGCAATGCTTAAAACAAGTTTAATTTCAGCCAATCATCGATGCCATAAAATTACTGAGAGCTGGAGAGATTTGTGCTATTTGTTGTACACTCCGATAATCAAACATAAGAGATAAATATAAAAAGTAACTTTTGTATCCCTACCAATCAGAGAACCATTGGAATTTACCTGAAGGAATATACTATTTTAATATTTACACATTCGACAAAAAAATCAGTACCTACATTTATTATTTGGACAACTATAAGTCCTTAATTTTGTGTTTTTGGCTAATTTTGTATTCACAGAAAAACCTTGCAATATGGATTTATAATGAAAGTTACAAAAAGAAAACAACACTTATGAGAATGAAACACCCAAAAAAGACTACAATTATAGAAATAACTAGATGTATCAGCCGAATACTGCATTCAGATTTCTTAACTCTTAATATAACATTATTGTAAAATGTAAATCCCATAGCGAAGGTATTAATTGGAAATGTAAAATAACTAATAAATGTAATAATGCTAACAAAAGTGTTCAAATTCCATACCTTATAATATTCCCTGAGCCTTTCAATGAACATTTGGTTTTTCTCATGCTATCAGTACAAAATGAATCATTGATAGAAAATATTTGTATGTAGTTATGACATGTTCTTTACAGCTTACGTTAAGGCTTAGGTTTAAATAAACTTAAAGCATACAAAAGAGCTTAAGGTAAAGGATGCTGGCTAGGTGTAAGCCCTCCATGTTCTGGACTGTGCTTTTGCTTTTTCCTCTTCTTCTCCTTCTTTCGTTTCCTGCGTTCTTTATCATCGTCATGACGTTTCTGCTTTTTTTGTGTCTTCTTATAAGTGTCTTGGTTGGATGAATCTACGAAAGCATAAACTTGTTAATAATGTCATCAGAGCGCTTGCAAAATCACCAAAGAACCTGGCTGACTCGTACATAAAAGGACCTGCATCATGATACTTGATTAATAACTATTAAAATTCAACACTTAATGCATGAAAAATTCATTCCTTTTATTTGAAGTTAACTTTCTATACCAGCAGCAGTAGAAAATCATCTTGTGATTATATTAATGTGTAATAAGGTCTGTAACATACAGCCTGTTTAGAGGGGTCATTAGTGGCTTCATTTTGTTTTAACTAAAACTAGACTATTTAAAAATATAAATGGTGTTTTCCACAACAACTAAATCCTATTTTTACCATTGTACATGTTCTTTAAAAGGCGGAAATTATCCCTTCAATATAATTTTATTCACAGACCTTGAAGTGGAGTGTCTTGTCCAGGTGGAGCTCCATCTTTGTGTTTGTGTTTCTTATGTTTACTCTTGTGTCTCTTCGGTGGTGTAGCACTAATGTAACGATACTGCTCTGGCAGTGGGCCAGGATGTAATCTAAAGCCAGCTAATTGGGCACTGGTAAGAGGTAACAACTCTTTGCCACCGATAGGTCTCTTCGCAATTACTGAACCTAATGTGCTGTTGTCCTCTTGGCCAGGACCATCGACAATCCCAGGAAGATTTGGTAAAAATGATGATAGGGATTCTTTAAGCTTTTTACCATTGAATTTACTATAAGAATGCTCCAAACCATAGTATGCCATCAGATTTGTGGCTCCTGTTAACTCACATTCTGCTGTAAAACGAAATTAAATAATAATAACAATTACATTTTCAATCTAGATATTTTTTTAGATATTTTACCATTAAAATCAAAGCTTACCTGGAGGTTCTTTCATCAAATAGAATGGTCCACTGTGCACTATGGAAGGATTTTTGCCGAGCGAGATAGTGGTCTTGAGAGTTCCAGACGAGTCCTGACGAGAGACCACTGGAGATCTCGCTCCTCTTGGTGAGGATTTTGGAGAATACTGTTCTACTTTTCTGAACTGATCAGACATCATCTTGTATCTGCATTGTCTATTTAATTATAATATGATAAATAAAATCCAATAAAACAAATCATAAAAACTGAAACGACACCCTTTCCTTTTGACCACTTTTTGACCACCACAGACTACATACATAGATATTACGACTAAGCATCCACCGGTATTGCTATAGTAAAAATGAAATAAACATGAATTTATGGTGTCGATTCTAGCATGATTTTCTTAACTTAAATTAACTTTAACTACAGTGGTGTCAATTCTGGCACGATTCTCTAAATCTAAACTTAAATTTGACAACAGTGGGCCCAATTCTGGCGTGCCAACTTATATCTAAAACTAACTAAAATTAGATATAGAGTTGTCAAATTCAATTTGGTATTCTGTAATGACACTCTATCTCTAAATTTAAAATTGACGTTGCTAAGTTATTCAACTTAGATTTAGATGATTAAATGGTAGTCTGAAACGCGTTCTAAATGTCATATTTTCTCTAAAATTAGAAATGTCACACTAAATTTAAGAAGGACCTACGGAGGTCCTCTCTAAATTTAAATGTGAATAATTGGGGCCAAATATCACGTAAATGATTGCTGTACTTAAGTTTTGAACTTGTTGTTAAGGTTGGATATAAAATATGATTCCTTAAGTTCTCCCCGCAGATTACATTTCTCCAAGTTCTTATTTTTCCCCAAAATAAGGATAAACACTCCCAATCTAGAAACCCTAAGTACCACTGAGTACGCAAGTATTCACTCTTTAATATTATTGATTCATAATTTCTCATACAGTAAAATAACAAAGTTATGTTAAGTTTTCATATTTCAAAGATGATGAAGAACAACAAAGATTTACTTAAATAAAATAAAAAAATAAGTCAAAATCACTGAATAATAAGTAATTATTGCTAATTTTAGTAAACCGATAATTACCGGTTCAATGCTTTTACATAATCTGTGAATTCAATTTAGATGCTCGTTTACAGCTGTCAACTGTTCTCTTAATTTAGTTAGTTAGCAATTTCAGAATACCAATTCTCTAACCCTAAACTAAAATTAGCACTTTAATTTTAAGTTTAGGTTTAGAGAATGTAACGCCAGAATTGGTCCCAGTGTATCTTTGTCATTCTCTCTATACAGAATGAAGAGAAAAGACTGATGTTAAATTTAGTTTTAAGTTTAGAGAATCACGCCTGAATCGACACCAGATTCTCCTTCTCCTTCTGTATATTTAGAATGACAAGGATTCACTGTTGTCAGATTTGATTTTAGGTTTAGAGAATCATGCCTGAATCAATACCTTTATCTTCTTTTTGCCTTTATAAGGCTTTAAAAATATTTTATGCCACATTTTCGTGAATACCTTCTTTTTAATAAGATACTTAATGGAATCTAATAACTGGAAAGCGTATTCTCTATTCAATAAAGGCATTTAAATTAAACCTTATTAAGTAATTAAAGCAGTGGTACAATTTTTAGGTCATTTTCTATACGGAATGAAAAGGAGAGATTGAGGTTAAATTTAGTTTTAAGTTTAGGGAATGACACCAGAATTGGGCCCAGTGTATTCTTGTCATTTTCTATACGGAATGAAAAGGAGAGATTCAGGTTTTTAGCTTTAAGTTTAGAGAATCACGCCAGAATCGACACCACTGTGCATGTCTGCCCCAAGTACCTCAATTGACTAGTTGGCACTAATAACATGGACGTATTACAGATAGAAACGGAAATGAGTTGTCATCAGCCTATAGATGTCTGCACTGCTGGGGCATAGGCCTTCCCTATGAATGGAATATAGAGATTGGGGCGTCCCAGACCCACCAGTCCCACCACGTGGGCCTAGTGCGGATTGGTGGATACTAACGATTTGACTGCAGATGCTGGAACCAATGGCTTAACGTGCCTTCCGAAGCATGGACAAGCTCTAGACAGCAAATTTTTCACCAAATCCTCACCCATCTAATGACTGGCCACTGCGAAAAAGATTTAACTTCTACAATCTCAGTTCGCAGCCGAACGCGGTAACAACTTGCACCATCGACCTCCTCAACAGACAGCTCCTCTCAAACTACCAACTCAGTACTGTTACTGATTAAACGGAATGACTGATACATGCAGAACGTAGGCTCTTTTACCCTTTCTAATGGGGTGACCAACTTTTATTTGTTGGAACCAAATACCATTACCATTTGTGTTGTATATAAGCTTCTTGGTTGGAACTCAATTTGAAACATCATAGTCACGGTAATATTATCTATACAGTATTGTGACTCCGCCCTGTCCTTGAAATAAATGCCTACGGCCGAGCGCTGCGTTAGCACGTGGTAGGGTCGCCCGCCTACAGTATTTTAATTACATCTACATAATTGAGTGTCTTTCTAGTTTTGTGATTGTAAATATTTTATTTTATATGGAAAGATTCTCCGCAAGCCCATATACCCATATCGTAGGAATGTATTAAAAATAAATATTCCGCCATATTGGATTTAGAATGACGTCACACAGCTAACCGTGCTTTTTAATCAAAACGTGTATTTATATACAAAATTTCAGCTCAACCGGTTGAAGATATCTGCTTCAAAATTGAGTTTCAAGATTCCACCCGAACAAACAAAGTTATATACCTACCTATATTGCAAGTTAATTAAAAGCTTGTAAAAAACCCAGCTGCTGATTTTTATTCTTACATAAATCAATAAAAGAATATTATTTTAAACATACAAGTTATATTTATTTGTAAGTCATGGCGCAGTCGGGTAAGGAAATTACCTACAATGTAGGTAAATCTTACTAGGTAGGTACTGTAGGGATCGTTTCAAGCAAACTAATTGTCATTGAAACACTTTTATTTTCAAGAAATTACATTATTATCAATAAACAAAATATGGTTTTTTAAACTCCGCACAAATATCCCTATTTTTTATTTTCCAGCTATGAATTCCTGGCAACAATCCGTCTCTTTTCCAAATTACCTTATAACCTGCCAGTATGCACCAAAAAGATCCGATCACTACAATACCATTTATTACTCTCGTAAATTATTTCATAATGATATTTAATTTAATTCTATAATGTATGTAGTTTAGTTATTCACTAATGTATGTAGTTAAGGAAGTAGATAGCCTAGTCTAGGAAACTACCTACCTATTATGTAGTTTTGTTTTTAACGCGAGTGTAGGTAGATTACTCGTTTGTCTCTTTTTTCACCCTAACCACTTTTTTATATATTATTCCAGATATTTTGCCCGATGGAAAAATTTAAATACCTAAATATTAGAAACAAATTACGTACTAGTAGATAGGTAAATATTCTATAGTCTTACCTTTCCAATATTTCAGGTAATTTAAAAAATGATATCTCTGGGTGTGTTATTGAAGAGTACCATACTAAATTATGTAGGATCTACTTAATTCAATCAAATATTTACAATACAAAACACACGTTTAAGCATGGCTAATTGCATAAAAAAAAACTCACACCATTCGGTCGTCGTTGCGGCGCAGCGGCGCATTCGCGACTGGGTGCCCGCCGAGAGCCCTTCGAACTCGAGTGGCGTAGGTATGACTCGCTTTCCGACCGTTTGTTTGGAGATAGAATACTGTATAGATAATATTACCGTGTCAATAACATTCAATAACATTTATTTAAATATACGTATAAGTGAAAATAAAAAAAATATTATAATAATAATAATATTTTACACGCTCTTACCAATGTTTCATCAAGGAACGAGACAGAGAGCATTTGTTGTGACTATCTCATTGTACCTGGTTTGACCCTCTTTGCATAATTAACTAAAATATGCTACTCTCTGCTAGCACCACATAGCACTTTACAGTTTGTCTATAAAGTCGTGACATGAATGTTTGAGGAACTAACATTATTCATGTGTCTGGCAACACCAAACTTATGTACATCAGCTGTCATCGAGTTTCAGTTGTGGAACAGTTTTCCTTTTGTATTTTTTATTGTATGGTTAAACTTTAATAAATTAAGACGAAACTACGCAGAAAGGTATAAAAATGAGTAAAGTAAATCGGAGTGGCACGCGGAAAGTGATTTTTAAAGTTTTCCAGCGATGTTTCGAAGACTACCAAGCTGGACGAATTTTGTGGGATTTGGATGATGTTTATGGGCGAACAGCATCTATGACGGGTATGTTATCGTGTAACTATTTGTTTGTAATCTGCCTGAAGTTACAAATTTACTTAATTTACGATTTTGGGACCAAAAAAGGCATTGTTTACATTGCACATTTTTAGGTTAGATTGACATTGTAAATAGGTAATATTGTAGTACGACCATTTCTTTTGATACGTTATTAAGGTTCAACTCAGTCAGGTTTTCTACCAATATTTGAATTGATTGCTTCATGTCAATAAGTTATTGTTTCTATTCCGTTACATATTTTATTACTTTTTTCCAGAAAAATCAGAGAGTCGGATAGTCAACGAAGGTTTTAAGAATGATGGAAAATTTGAAACTCCTGGGAAAACAGGCAAGGCTGACCAAAGAACGAAATGGTCACATAAAGAACCATGGCCAGATGCTTTTAGTGAAGATACCAATCACTAATTTTACTAACTGCACATTTACAAATTGTTTCTTTAAATAAACTTTTTCTATACTATAAAATGATTTTTAGTATTATTTTCTTAACAAGTGTGTTAAAAAACGTCGTATGATGATACTTGTGTGTATTGATGATTACCTAACGGCTCTGGTCTCAATGGCAGCTCAGTGGTAATCACCAACATTACACACTTTTACACTATAAAGTACTATTTTATGTATAATAATTTTATTCTGATTCAATTAAATATGCTTGACTAAACTTTTTATATGCATAGGTACCTACTATATAAAATAGAAACAAAATACGACTGTATAGTGTGTCTTATTAATTATCTATTTTACTTGAATGAACTGCTAGTATCAAAATCATTTTGGTCCGACTGTACAGGGTTGCTACATGCATACTAGTGGCGCCATCATTTAATGTCACGACTTTATAGACAAACTATACATCACTATTCGCATTTGCTATTTGTAAATTTATTTATTTATTTATCTTTAACAAAGTTTCTACAGCGGTTTTTGTGAAATTTAATACAATAAAATATATAATCTTAAAGCCAATTACAGAAACTCATTACGTACACATTAGATATTAACGGCGTTATTATATGTCAGTAGTTATTACATTTAATTTAATTTAATTTTAAAAATTGCATAAAAATCATATAATTCATTAACATAAAAATAAAATAAAATTAAAATTGGACAAAAACATAACAAAAAGACAAAAAAGAAGAAAATCAAACACTGAATATCCATATAAAAAGGTTTTCAAGATAGTACATAAGTAGTAAGGTAAAGTTGACAACAGTCTCTCATTTTCACTTTCTTATGAAGTAAGTTAAGGATAACTTGCTTTTAAAAATATTCGTCCAAGCTTAGGCCGTATACAGAAAGAAAGCCGAAAGCCGATCGGCGCCGATCGGCGCCGATCGGCGCTTATCGGCGCCGATTCTTCCTACATAAAGGAAGCCGATTAAAGCAGATCAAGCAAAATGTCGGACTCATCGGACGATGATTTGGTTTTGTTAGGAAATGTTTATTTAAAAATGCGAAAAACAGGTATACATCCTATAAATAGAGAAAGGAAACGTTTCGGAGAATACCATCATTTATTTGTTAAAGAATTGATTAAGGATAATAATTCAAATACAAATTATTTATAATTCGACAATCCGCCGATCAGTACGGCGCCAACGCCCTTCGAGGTATCTATGATGACATTTTATGTCGCACGCGTCACAAATTCTTCGAGTGCATTTATCGTAAACCGGCTGGATATACTAAATAAATATTTCCAACACTCACACCAATTAGCCTAGCCCCAAAGTAAGCACTATCAGGCTTGTGTTACATCGATAAGTATATTTATATAGAAATAAATATTAAACATCCATGACTGGAGTACATATGCTCATATTCATTACATAAACATCTGTCCTCACCGGGATTCGAACCCGGGACCTCTCGAGTCGGCGACACCATGAAACACGGCGTTTAAACCCCGCGCGGACCGTTGGACAGTCGAGATTTCGCAGAGCTCCGTGAAAAAATGCGAAATAAATACTAAAGTGTCATTTTCTCGACAGGTATCTAATAAACGTTTGTTAATTTAACACATTGGAAGCAAATTTTGTTCTAATACTTACTATAAACTGATTTAATAGAAAATATTTGTGATATTGAAATGCATGGTCGGTAATATAGCTGTCTCTTTTCCTCACGGTCCGTATCTGTTACATTGCGAATAGCGCATTCAGAACTGCGCGTAAAATCAAATGAATAAGGTGTATATTCTTCCGCATATAGCAATAAATTCGTAAAATTCTACCTTGCTTGCATTTTGAACTGTCATAACTCTGACGCATACTTTTTAATTAAGACCTTAAAAAGTATGCATTAAAGGTGACTTTCAATGATTAAATAATGCCTTATATTGTTTTTCACTACGCGATCAATTTACTCCGTGCTTAGTTCCGTGGATCGTCCAATGTACCTATTAGACAGGTTTCGGCCACGATTTTGTTCGTGAGGTTGTATCTAGGGTATTTAATATCGTTGAAGGGCTCTTAAGACATAGGTAATATTTAAATAAAGAAGTTGTAATACTTAACCGATTTAAATGTTCACTAACTTTATGTAAGTCGACAAACTAAAACAAAATCAATTAATACCTACTCACCGTCTTCATTCATGGCCTCGCTTATTTCTTTCCAACATTTGTCAACCACGTATCTATTACAGTGCCTTTTGTCGGTTTTGTCCCACAGAGGTTGTTTAGTGAATACTAAGGATATCAAAATGTCATTATCCATTTTTCTACTTAAAAAATAATTGCGTGTAGTAATTGACGTACCTGTTGTCGTTGTTTATTAATTTAAAATTGCAGCTGACCAGCGCGAGTCGGCGCCGATCGGCGCTTATCGACGCTTATCGGCGCCGATCGGCGCCGATCGGCGCTGGTCCATAGAAAAAGGATCAGCGCCGATAGGCGCCGATAAGCGCCGATCGGCGCTGATCGGCGCCGATCGGCTTTCGGCTTTCTTTCTGTATACGGCCTTAGTTCTGTTGTCTCATACCATTCTACAGTATACCTGCGCGACGAGGCTTTGACTACTTATTGGTATTTATTCTGGCATGATTCTCTAAACCTAAAATTAAATTTGACAACAATGTATCCTAGCCATACATAATGGAAAGAAGAGATTAATGTTAAATTAAGTTTTAAATTTAGAGAATCATGTCAGAGTCGACACCATTGCGCTTAAATTGGTGTCTAAATTTTTGATGTTATAGGCATACTTGTTCCACCAATTTGTGGGTATCGAAAAACGCTAGTCATCTATCATCTATCGTCACGCAGCTCGATCTCTGCATATAGGTATTTTAATTTTACTAATATTTTATGTTTAACGTGATTATAGATAGACGAAGCTTAGTGGTAATAAATTCAGGTGTGGGAAAGCATAAGCTCGTGCCTTCGAATAAAGATGATATTTAAAAAAAAATAAGCAGTTGCTTTGGTTTGGTCTCGTTTATTTAGTCTATGAATATTGTCTATGATTCATGAATTAGCTTCCTCAAACTTACGACGATTTTCATTAATTTGTTTGGAAATAAACATCTAAACAAGTGTAGTTGAATTTGTTAATGTCAATAAATGCAGCGTGAAACGTAAAAAAAACGATACTGTGAAATATGTCTCGTGTTGTGCAATTATTTTTCGATGCTTCTGATATCACCATTCCTCGCTCTGCGAAGTGACGCCATTTTACGGGAATGACCAGCTTGCGGCTGCCTTATAATAAGCCAGATGTAAGGATTTCCCTGTTTAAACGGATGCATGGAAACAGATCTTCATCACTGTACTCGTACTGGACGTACGATTTCAGAGGTAAAGTTACTGATTTTATCTTTACTTTTGGTGTGATACTTCAAAATGATGTTCTGATTGGCTCAAAATCGAACGTCTTTTGTTTCCTAGCTATTCAAAACACACGTGTTTAATTTTTCAGAAAACTATGGAAGATGGTAATGTTGTCAACATAAAAGACGACAAAATCGCGGCATTTGCAAATTTATACAGCGAAAGACCATCTAAGCTAACCACGAATGGCCATGATATCTCCGGTGAATCCTCCAACCCGCCCGACGACTCGTTTCAGATACGCCATCAGAGTGTAGAAGCATCAAGAGATGACAAGTTCCGAAAACGCATCAACCCACTCAGAATACACTTGGGAAAAAGGCCTTTTGTTGACAATTCCATTCAGCATTATAATTCCGCCAAAAAGAAGAAGCCTTATGGAGTTAAAATCAGTGACACAAATGCAGCAAATACTGTACCAAGGGTCCCAAAGCTTGTGCATAAGCGACTGAATAATACACAATTTCATCATGTTACATCACATGGAGGAAGACCTTATGACAATGAACAAGACAAACCTGTTCCCCGACTTGTGCCCAAAAGTCAACTTCTGCAATTTAAAAAGGGTAAAGTTGAAAAAGGAGCCCAATTGAAAGAATATGCTCAAAGCTTGGGTCTACAGCCTATGGTCAAATTTAAATGCAGGAAGTGTTGTTCAATGTCATTTAAAACACTGGCTATGTTGAAAGAACACCAATTAGTCTGTCGAGCACAAGCCAAAGAGCCTGCACTGAGTCCAGAAGCCACTCCAAGTCCAGAAAACAATTCAGGAGGACCATCCCGTGTTACAAGAAAAGTATACTTATGTTCTGCTTGTGGTACATATTATGAAAATTGGAATCTCTTTTTGCACATGAGAGAAGCTCACAACAGGCATATTTGTTTGTTTTGTTTAGGAATGTTTTCAAAAGCTGAAAAACTTGCATCGCATTTGTCTAATAAACACAATGTCCAAGAATTTAACTATGACAGTAAAGAAGAATTTTGCAAAGTTTATAATGGTAATTTCTATTTAATGTGCTGTGTATGCGATGAGATCTGTAGTGAACAAGATGACTTTTTTAATCATGACTGTAATAATATTAAGCCCAGACCTGTGCCTGTGCGTGTGAATAAACATACTTTAAAAACTAATAATTTAAGAAACAATATGAACTGTAATGAAATCTCTACAAATGGCCCAACAACTGTAAAGGAAATAAATAAGCCCATAGTTGACAAAAAAGAAATAATTGAAGAGGTCAAAATTGCTGGTCAACTTTCAAAGATTGTAACTTCTGATGTTATTGCTGATAATTGTGAACCAGTTCATAGTGACACAAGTCTTAGTTCTGAAAATTCGATATGTACAAGTAAAGACACTAACAATACTATAGATTCTGGTATGGAATTAGACAGTTCTGGTAATAAACCTGTAAGTCCTACACTTCAAGATACACCATTTTCTGATAAAAGTGAGCATTTAATTCCCAATGGAGATGATAGTATAGAACATTCAGACGAAAGTCAATCACCACCTCATGATGAAGTTCCCTCAACTCTTTCGGAGCAATCACCTGAAAAATGTGCAAAGCCTATAATTCCACCCATTGAGAAAGAGAAAGAATTTGGCATTAAGTTGAAACTTAGTTTAAACAAAGCCAACTCTCCGGTTATTATAAATTCTACTGTAGATCCCACTATTGGTCAACAAATTGCATATAAACCACCAAGTAGAGTAAGAAGACCTCCAAAACGCTATGAAAAAGAATTACCATTACCTACAGATCCACCACCAACGCCAGCAGCTTTGCCAAAAACTCCCTCAATAAAAATGACAATATGTGATAAAGCTGATAGCCCTTTTGTAAAGACTACAATATATGAAGATGCCAAGAAGACTACACTTAAAACACTTCTGAATAATAATCTGGATTCAGTTTCTGAATTAACAGAATATAAACCAGATAATAGCATAAAAACTACAATATATGACAACAAACTAGAGGATATCAATACATTAAACAGGGTACCAAAATTAACTGTTAGGGTTCCTAAAGAACTATTGGACAAAGATTCATCCAGTGATTATTCATCAGACAGTGATGTGAGTGATAAATTGACAGTTGACGAAAACAATGTGACAATAGAAGAAAATGTGAAAGTAGAACAGTCTCCACAGATTCAAGATAACCATTCGACTTTGGTAGATAGGAAAGAGGACTCAAATGACCATATACTTCCAACTAACACATCGGAGATTCCTGATAATTCTTGCAATGAAACAGAATCTAAGACTGATTTTGTAGATCAGGAGATTCCTATTGAGACAAAACCTGAAGAGCCAGAAATACCTGTTACGGAACTCTCTTTAGACAAGCCATTAGATAAGTATGAATTGAAAGATTTACTGAAAGTGTTTTTGTCTTGTACAGCTTTTAATTGTATTTATTGTAACCATGTTAGAAAAATAGCAGTTAATTGTGAGCAATTGTCATTGCATATGGTTGCACAACACCGTTTCACAGCAACTGTCAACAGCATTACAGCAGAAGAATTAATGCCAGAGACAATCACTGCCAGACTAAAGACAGGAGCATCAGAATTACAGTCTATTTTTATTAATTTGAACTCTTATGACAGTATTGATAAATATGACGATGTTCAATTTGACCACATATTTGAATGTTTCCAATGTTACTTCAAAACTGCTGTTCATAAAGATCTCTATTTACATAATCGTAAAATGCATCAAAAGACAATTTTGCTGTGCGTTATGTGTAAATCAAATTTTTACAGTTATAGTGAATTATTGTGTCATTTGTGTCCAGGAACTTATGATTCTGAGTATGAAATAAAGTTTAGATGTTGTTTATGCAATGTAGACTCTATACCATCTTCTTTTAGGTTAATGGTACACTTAAGAAAAATACATCACACATGTGATGTATGTTTGGAATTTTGTCATAACCAGGCACGTCTATCTAATCATGTTTGGAAACATAAGTTGCACCACCTCTGCTATCGTTGTGGCATTGCTTATAGAAATAAACCTGATATAACTAATCACCTTTTCTGGAAACATGGCACTGAAAGTGTATTATGTAAAAGATGTCTTCAGAAAAAATGGCCCCATGTATATCATTTCTGTTCACCACCTGCTATATTTGTTTGTGATGAATGTAACTTGCAATTTACAAGACCAGTTTGCTTAAAAGTCCACAAAAGATTTCATACTGAAGAGTACCCCCATCTATGTAAGGAAGAAGGCTGTACAGAAAAGTTTGTATCGAGAAAGTTGCTTGAAAAGCATATTGATAATCATAAACAAAAATTAATAACAGAAGAATTAACAAAAGAGGTTACTTCTACTGTGGAAAAAAGTACAGAACTGTCAAAAGAACCTATCCCAGTCATTGACTTAGTTGATGAAAAACCCAAAGATGAAGCTGGATCTTCTGAAACAAATGCAGAGGTAGGGTCTGAACAAGTATCTAAAAAAGCAAAGAAAAAAAAGCAGAAAGAAAAAGACGCCTTACTCTTAGATGTAAATTTGCCAGCATTAGATTTATCGGAGAGCGATAGCAGTGATGAATCTGATAGTGGAAATCCAACTGTTAAAAAGGAGGAAAAAAGCGAACTACCCGATGATGGAACATCTGCTCCTGACTCTGACATAAACAATGATCTAATAAATGTGGAACCTGAACTTCCAAAAATTAAAGAGAAATCTGAGCCCATTGAAGAAGAAAAGCCAAGTGAACAACAAATATTGGATATTTGGGATAACTTCAAGAAATATCAAGCTAAAGTTGAAAAACAAAAAGAAAAAACACCACCTTTAGTACCTATAAGAAAGCATGTATGTGAATCAGATCATGATTATTGCCTTATTCCATCAGATTTCAATGGAGATGATGATCCATTCAGTTTAAATAAGAAGAAAAACAAAAAATCACCAAAGAAAAAACATGGAGAGTTAACATCTTCAAGTAGCAGTAGTAGTGACAGTGATTCAAGTTGTTCATGTGGATCTAACTGTAGTTGCTCTTCTAGTAGTGGATCTTCTTCTTCTAGTTCTTCTGATACAGATTCATCGGACGACACAGGAATTGAAAAGAAAAACGTAAGCATTGATAAGAAGAAGAAGAAGCAATTAAAGAAAATTTTACCAAATAGAAGAATGAGTAGTGGCTCTAATGTGGATGTTTTGGGAATGTCTGAAACACCAATTTTAGTACCAGAGAAGATTGAGCCACCCATAGCAGAAACAGATTTAGAAACTGATGAAAGTGAAACTGATGAAGAATTTTATGATGAACATCCTCAAAGAATGGCTAATAAGCTACATGCAGAAAAACGTAATCAACTAATGCTTTTAGCATCTGTGGCACCATCAGATGGTGGGTCGGTCTCAGGAGAAGCTAGCCGCCCTAGCACTCCGATAAAAGAGGAGCAAGAAAATAAAACAGTAGTTGAAGTTAAAGAAAAAACTAGCAGTAGTAAAAAGAAAAGCAAAAAGAAGAAGAAGTCAAGGAGTTCCAAAAAACATGGCCCAATCAAACTCAACATTCCTAAAGATATAATTGCAAAGTCTGAAGTGGAACAACCCTTAATGCCACCAGTATCTAATAAAATCACAATATCACTGCATTCTAACACAGTTCAACTACCAGAGACACCTACATGTGTTTCCACACCTATAACGCCAACCGTGAGCACTCCAACAGTATCTTCAATAGAAAGTAAACGGGCGTCTAAAAGAAGACGTGTTCCTAACAAATTTTATGGTTACTCAAGCGATGACGAATCAGCTTCTCCAAACATTGCAGCTTTAAAACCACAGCAACCTCCTAAACTGGAGTGGAGAAAAGAAGATTTACCATCTCCTGTTACGCACAAAGCAAAGAAAGAAGTGCCGACAACAGTCCTGCCACAAAAAATATATAATTATACAGAACCTATCAGGCTGACAACACCAATACCAGACCCTGAGCCACCTCGAATTTTAATGAATACTGAATCTATGGAATCTAGTGATTCTGATTCCAGTGAAGGAAACTTAGAGATATACCAACCTACCAACAGCGCCGTTGCACCTATTCCGCCTCCGACATATTTGAATTCGGGCACCTCTAGTTTGCCATACCCGTTCCAAAGGCCAGCAGTGCGGCAAGCGCGAGAAGGAGAAAGCGTTTACTGTTACTGTCGCTGCCCCTACGATGAAGTGTCGGAAATGATCGCATGTGATGCAGAAGGATGCCCTATAGAATGGTTCCATTTTGAATGTGTTGGCATTATGGTACCACCTAAAGGAAAATGGTATTGCCCTGAATGTAGGAAAAATCAAAGTTTTTCAGGTTACAGATAAGTCTAATTAAAATTAATGTATATAATTATATCTTGCTGTATTGTTATCTGTATATAACTTATTGATGATTGTAGATAATATAGCTTTACCTGTATATCTTTGTAGGTAGTTTGTGTAAGATTTAGGTTATTAGGTCTGAAGAAATGTATCATTGTTATAAAAAGTACATGGTTATGCTTCTTGCGGCTGAATCTGTAACCTGGTAAATTGTTATTACATTAACCTACTACAGCAAAACGGAATTATAAATCCGATTTTTGATACCAACACGGACATTTTCATTTATTTACTTTGTCTTTTTTATTATAAATAGTGCAAACATGCACCCTATCTGCCTGATGGTAAGCGCACATCGTGGCCTATGGATACTTATTATATCATGAGGTAAAATCTACTAATTAAAATTAAATAAATACTCATAGTTTTCGTTTGAAGACACTTATGCTGTATTGTTTTGGGAAAACTTCGAAAGGGAGTTATTTCCGCAGCTGGATTATACGCAGGCGTTTAGTGCCTCTAAGTGTTGCCGCACACGATCCACACGCCACAGCCACAAACCACGCCGCCACGAGAAGCTAGAAGTTGTTGTAGGTAGAGTCGGTTAGTAAAGTGGCTGAAGCGCGCCACAGCGGCCGACTAAGGTAAGGGAGAGAGGGGTGGGGAATTGTGCGAGTGACGTGTGGCCGCGTTTTGTATCGGCGCATTAAGTGGCTGGTGCGGGCCACAAGAAGTGAGCAACGACGATTTGTAGCATGTGGCGGCCACCGGCGTACCGTGTGTGGCGAGTCCATATAAAATGTATGAAAACTACAAGAAATATGCCGGTGGCGGCGTTTTGTGCTTGTGGTCGGTGGCCAGTGTGCGGCGACACTAAATCTCGGAATAACTTTCGCCCAATCCCCTCCTAGGTTTTTTGACTTGCATCGTTCGTTGGACTTTTTGTACGCGGTATTTTTAATCGCTCGCTTGCCTTACTCGATGCAGTTATAAGCGATCTATTTTGGCGGAAAAAAAGTCTGCGGACAAAAGTTCCCCCGAACAACCGAGGACGCCGAGAGGTAAGGCTGGACAAAAGCACGGGACAGTCTCCGAAGAAAATAAAACTGTGACTAGGCGTAGGCTGCAGATAAACGACGCGAAAAAATTCTTGCGGCGACCGCGCTGTGGCCGCGTAATAACTGTTCAGTCAAAGCAGATTTATGTTTTATTAACTATGACTTAATGTTGAAGGACTTAACGTCCACTCCTCGATCACACAGCGGCCACGCGGCCGCCGCGCGATCGCTGCGCAGTTAGTTACAAAGAATTTCAAAGTCCTAGTAAATAAACCATAAATCTGCTATGACTGAAAAGTTATTACGCGGTCACAGCGTGGTGACCGCGCGGCCGCCGTACTGTCACCACGCGGCCGCCACGCTGTGACATTCTGTGTCATAAACGCGCCCGTAGAGCAACGCAAACTGTGAACCTGTCCCTTCCGACTTATAGCGCATGACGGCCATCCTAGGGGAGACATCCTTGATGTGTACACTATCAGCCAGCAGGAGCACTACAATTTATATGTATTATTTTTATAGCGATGGAAAGTCGTCCTCCACGCAGTAGAATTTTATTAATACTTACATATTTTTTTATGACGCATCACGTTTACGATCGTTATCGAGACCCGTGACATACGGGACAAAAATACGACAAAGTGAACAGCAATAGGGTTTCGCCTATAACCTTTGAGTACGGAACCCTAAAAGGCACAGAACAGAAAATAATCATAATCAACATTCGGAACAAGATGACACCCATTGCATAAGGAAGAGAACATAAATAAAAAAAGCGAAAATAATTTACGGTTGATTTGTCTTATGGAAGTCTTAGGGAAAAATACACCTCTTCTTGATACCATTAAAATGGCAAGTTTGTAGGTATTTAAAAGGTAACATCTACAACTTTTGTACTTATCTATTTAAACTAAAAAAACCTTAATCTCTCCGCAGACTGCAGCGTCACCTATCTGGTAGAGTTGTTAATTAAGTTTTATCAAACATGCTTGGAAATTTGAGCATTATTTTGACATTCTTCTTTGATATAAAAATGTTCTGCTTTGATATTGAAATTGCTTTAATGGCCACATACATGTGAGCAACGGCCGGCAAAAGTTATATGAAAATCCATATCCTGTCGTGTTTAGCGTGCAAATAAATTACATAGTAAATCAGTCATGTAATTAAAAATGGAACGATCTTTTGTGAGCGTCAGAATGGCCGGTCACTACCCATATACTACGAAACATGACAACGAAGTAGGTAACTTATCAATTTAAATTTCGAAAAGACTTGCAAATAAAGCTGTTTATTGAAAACAAATGAATGAGTGTTGTGTTGTTGTTCGCATTGTTCGTCGTTGATTTTGAAAAGTAGATAATTGTAATTTAAAAATAAAAAGTTCTGCCTAGGTACTACTTAGTTTTAATTTCTTCGCATTATTTAAGAATAGCAATTTAAAAGGCATGGTGGAAATGCTGCCAGCCTATTGGGCACCATTCCTGACGGCGGCGCTGGGGGTGATATATTTTATATTTTGTAAATTGTATATTTAAGTTCTTAGTTATTTATAGTTTTTACGTTTTTAGACATAAGGTAGTTGTAATTCTCTTTATATACTTAATTATAATATATTTATCAATAAATAAATACACATACTTTTGCTTGATTAAAGGCATGGTCACATATAGTCATTGGTGGTCTTACGTATGTGTGCCTCGGCTTGGACTCGGCCCACATTTACACGTTCTTCCATCAATGCGTGCTGACCACTACAGTAATGTACTATTTCTTACTATTTTTCTTCGTAACTTTGTAAAGGTAAAGTTCTCACTTTATGGCGTGATCAAGGGAAACAAGCTATATTAATAACTATGTATATAGTTTTTTTTGTTTACGGCAGGGGAGTGGAACTTAAGCACAGACTATTAGATGCTTGTTATGCAACGTCTTTGGCAATGGTTGATGGGACCCAAAACGTATCGTATTATCTCGAGCTCAGGCATAAGGGCAATGTATACATTGCCAATAAATAAATAAAAATATCTCGTGCTCCTCCGTGATTTGAAGGCTCGTTAAGGCATTGGTCTGGGCTGCATCCTATCCACCCACCTATATGCGGTAGGCCCGCGTGGTGGGTAATGTCATGACCTACTATGACCCCATCAGTGCCAGACAACGGGGGAGACATTAATAAAATGCTGATGACAGTTTACGTAAGATACATAGCGTTTAAGGTTGTCCGATTCCATAAAATATAACTAATCTATAAAAACAAATCAGTATAAATCACAATTTTAGTCAATTTAACCAATAAAACAAAAACTCACATAACAGTTCTAGTATACTAATGTCGCTACTGAACGCTAGATGGCATACTTTATTATTAGTAAATGCGATTTACCACCTCAATACATTGTAAAGGATATATTGTTTATTGAACTTCAAACCGGAAGTTCTAGAGGCCGTTGCTACTCGATTAGGGCTTTCAAAATTATATCGACGCTTGCTCGATGCTAAAGTGACGTTAAAATAACAGCTTTTCTATATATATAAAAATTAAACCCGTTTTCCGTTGTCACGACATAACATGAAAACGGCTTGACCGATTTGGCTGTTTTTTTTTGTAGTTTTCTAATACTCTGTACAAGGTTCTTACGGAAAAAAATATAAAGAAAATCCCAAGGGCATAAAATAAGGAATGAAATTTTGTATGAAACTGTATCAATTTTAAACCGATCGGGCTGAGACTTTGCATGCAGGTATAAGAAGAATCATAGATGAATGTCATTGTGTATAATACAAGCCTGAGAACAAAAACTGTAGTCTACACTTCAGCTCTACACCGAAGCGAAGCGAGGGCGGGCCGCTAGTTCTTAATAAAAATTGATTATTATATAACTTTATAGGAGTCTTCTTTCTTTTCAGTGAGTCTAATGAACAGACTAGGAAAACTTTTAATCAGGGAATTTGTAAATTATTTTATCGAAACCGCGTATGTGATTGAGACTTGGTTTTCAGTGGCATGGCGTTTGAGTAAGCTTTAGTTAGCTGCCCATGGACCGAGACTTGGCGATGTTGGACAAAGAGTATGACGAAATCAAGAAGAAGCGTAATCCATGAACAACGCGGTATCCCCAACACGTCAATGCCAGTTTTTACCAAACCTAGTAATCAAAATTCACTATTGTTTTGGAATACTTATTAGGAATAATGAATGCGAATTTTCATTCGCTTTGTTAGCACAATGATACTGATCAATGTAAATAAACGGACCATATAATTAAAAAGTGATAATAACAATTGTATAGTTAAAATCTTAGGATCATAACGGTTTCTTATTTTTTGGATTCAATTAAATTTCAAATAAATCTCTGATATCAATTGACTGTTTGTTCATTAACAAATCGAGAAATTATTTATAGTTTCTGTGAGTGAGGTGACGTAATTACTTTTGTAGCAGTTAATAATATTATGGATTTGTCCTCAATTTGTACTAATAAAAACACCTGCAGCCGGTTTGGAGGTCAGTATCAAATCATTTCCAATATTTATCTAGGTATAGTATTTTATACTCGGATTGTTTATTAGACCAACTGAGTACCTACTTAAACAAAAGTACCTGAATATTATTTACCTACCTGCATTTGGTGTTTAGGTAAAATAAAGTATTTTCAAATAAAAACATTAATACTGTGAAGCGCTCGTCTACAGAAATTCTAATACCCTGTAGAACTTCACGGAATGGATTGTAGTTAGGCCGTAAAGTGGAGCTACACATTTTTCTGTCTCGCCAGCAATGTTCACAACAGTTCTGAATTTTAGGTCAAACACCAGACAGCCACAGACTCCAACTTACGGAGTAATTTCGTTTTCTGTAACTTGTATACAAAAAAAATATTTCTTATGCGTTGAAATCAGTTAATTTCAGCCTTACAGCCTATGGGCCAACTCCGTCCAGCACGTGATGAGCCCCGGTAGTCAACCAAGTGATTTAGAGATTGGAGTACGAAATTAAATTAATTTCGATAGCTTCATTGCTAGAGCCAAAACTATTACGCAATCTTTAGTTTCTGTTTTCGAATCGCGCAGATGTCCTGATCGCCAGCCGTTTCCTAAAAAAATAGGCCAAGTGCGTGTTGGGTCACGCGCAATGTAGGGTTCTGCGGTTACCCATCACGAAGAACAAATCGCAAACATAATGGGAATCTGGATCGCGTGGAATTATTTCTAGTAAAAATTTCTTTAGATTAAAACATTTAGCAGTTAAATAAAATAAAAACATAATAAACTAATAGGGGAAAATTTAGGGGTACGTTTGCACTCACGACCAGCGATATTAAATATCCTACCGTGATTAAAACAGCTTCACGCAAACTCGGGGTCCTGAACAAGGTGCGGCGTTTTTTCATGCCCGTTCAACTGTGCTTGTTGTACAAAACGCTTTTTAGTTACATAAAGGGATTCCTTTTTGACTGGGGAATTTAATAATAATAACAATAAAAAAAAAACAATTTTCTTGTCGTTCAGATTCAAAACCTTTTTTTTTTATTTAGGTACAGGCGCAGATGGTGTAGATGTTGTAGAAGCAGTAAACAAATCTGCATGTACTACAGACGCTCCGCTTCGGTGTGGGAAAGGTAGGTATAATGAATAACTAGTTGGTACGCACAGATAAAAGACTTCATTTCTGAATATTAACTAGGTACTTGTAAGTAGGTTTACCATATTTTCCGAATTAATTAGGACTCTTACGGTTTCAAGTAATTAAGTGCTGCTTGCTGGCACGGCCGGTTGGTTGGCATTTCAGTGTTAACTAATAAACTCTCGTCTTCGTGCTTTTAAAAAAACCCAGAAATGATCACTAATTGTAAAACATGACTGCCGTTATATAAAATTAACTAAAGTGTAAAAAAAGATTTATTTTTCGTCATCGTGTCGTGTAAAAACCAACAATTGCAGATAGGAACCTTAGCTTAGCTTAGGTTCCGATTCCGAAATTCAAATTGTAGCGATGCCCGAGGCCCAGATTAAAGATACTTTCATTCATTTATCTGAGGCGAAGCCCGTGCACGAATTTGGACACCTCCGTAACGGATCTTTCTATATCGTAAATTTTTGTATGGAAAAAGCAAGTTTGTTCTTACGTCCCATAGGGGCGCTGCTTAGTTTTCATAGAAACTTTTACGATGCGATACGTTACGTACCTGTTAAAAACTTGTACTTCGGCCTCTGTCCTTGCGTCCTAATTGGCGCATTTAGTATTCACATTCATAGAGAGGATCATGCCAGATTCGAGACCAATGGTGTTGATTCCCCGCCTAAACAATAAAGTACACAGTCGGAAAAGAAATACATTTATTAAAAAAAACATGCTTATAAATGCGTGACTGTTTTTCGGTGTCCTTATAATGTAGGCACAGTAGACATTTTAAGTAAGTACTTAATTAAATATGTTATGTGAAATCCTTAAGGCTTCCACTACCCACTACCCACTATCCATTCTCTTGGATCCAGCATACGGGACAGCACTATACGCGTAATAGAGATGGAGATACAGCATCTCTTTCACGTGTATAGCACATCCCGCATGCTAGATCCAACAAGATGGATAGTGCTTTAGATTCGTGAATAAGTTTTAACGCGAGGTAGGTTTTTGTGCTGTAGAAGTTATACCACAGACTTAGAGAATGGAGTGGACAACTGTACACTGGACACACGTGTGGGAAAGACGAAGAGATCCATAGTTCGTCTACGTATAGTACGACAAGTATCTTTATGAATGTGGCGAAAATTGGAACTAACGCCGCGCGCCGTCTTTGTAAAACGTCATATTTCGTCATTTATGTAGACAAGAGCGCTCTTTTTGTCGCACTGTATTGGCTGTTTTTTTGCCTCTCACGAAAGGGTTCTCAATTTCATGCTAGTGTCGCTCTCCTAAGTCTACGGTACACAGGCTTATGAAGGTGGTGAAGACACGGTCACCACGGTAGCTCAGCGCCGTCGTACTGCAGGAACTTGCCCGAATCTGCCTCGCCCAGCTTCTCTATGGTTTCGAATATGCTCTCGACGCTGGTGACCACGTCGAGCGGCGCGCCCTTGCCGCCCATGTCGGTGCGAACCCAGCCGGGGTGTATCGACGCCACCAGTATGTGCTCCTTCTTCAGGTCTATGCTCATTGATTTGGTCGCTGCGTTCAATGCGGCCTATAAAGACATACAGTCGAGTTGAGAACTCCCACGAGAATAAGGTTATACTCGACTCCTCATAACAATGAACTTGTACTGTAAGTCGGCAAGGAAGTTTACTCATGAGTATATCGCGTCATGACGCGACGGAATCAGAATTGCGCTGATTGCCAAAATCGGTCAAATATCGCATCAATAGTGCGACCACGCTAAGTTATGCTTTGAGGTTTGTTACTATTTCTAATGCTAGCCTATGTTTTTTTATTCCAATTTATGTAAAGTTTATTAAAGAAAAACTCATAAAAAAATAGATATCGATAAGCAAGATAAGTCGCCCAATAGCAGAGCAAACGTTACGAATCAGCTGAATTTTGGTGCTATATTATAACTGCACATACATACCGTGTTAGGGCTAGCGAGTTATTGTGTTTATCATTAGAATGGGGAGTTTAGCATGTCACCTTAGAACACCTGTAGGGGTAGAAGCCACCCTGGTCGTTCTGCGCGATGGAGCCGAGCACGGAGCTCATGTTGATGACGGCGGCGCGCGCTGCGCCCACCGGCGAGCTGCTGTTCGCCTCCGCGGCTTGCTTCAGCAGCGGCAGCATCGACTGGTGGTGGATACCAAGAACATGTTACACTTTTATAAAAAATAAATACAGTCTTTGCAACGTTATGTAAGTTCCATACCATTTGTTATATAAGTTCTAGCTACAATATTAATCATCAACGGCGACACCAATACGCAAGCCCTAATCAGGGTAGAGCAAGATTGTGCTTCAGCGCATTTTGGTTAGCGATTTCAGTTCACGTAGAAATAGTTCCACTTCCACTTTGGCTATTTGGTGCTTTCGGGAGCCTAGAGCTTTCGTTTTACTCACTCTACCAATAGAACACTGAAAGAGGACCACTTTCTATGGTCTGTGACTCTACTCTACCCCAGGGCCGACGCTGCTCAACGTACAATAAGTTTCTAACTTTATCATAACGAATTGCTGTTACCTACTGGTATTAATAGCCATAATGTAGCCGCTCCAGTAGGAGAACATGTTGGAAAATAATCCGCCACCTTATAGATGAGAAAGGCTCCAAGGTGTAGGAAATCTGTTCAGGGTCTGAATTCAGGCCGACAAAGTGAGAATGGCTGTGAATTTCTCCTTACAACTGGACTTAACATGAGGCGGAGACGGTGAATACGTTGTATCCTACACGAAAGAAAAAAATATGCCTGACCTCTTTGACCTGATCCAAAAGCAGCAGCTGAATAAGGAAGCTGCTCTAACGGAATTATTCTAACAGAAAACCACTGGCATGGTACAGAATTACGGTGATGACATGGTTTTTTGAGGTTTTTATTGAGCTCAAAGGAAATGATTAATCGAACCTTGGTTAGCATTATCGGTGCAACGGTGTTGACTGTGAGGTTTTCTAGCAGCTGCTCAGCTTTCACCAAATTGAGTTTAGTGAATTTTGTTGCGATTCCAGCGTTGTTAATGAGTAAATTGAGACCGGAGCTGCCTACTGCGTTGGCAATTTTAGTTGTCACGTCACCGTAACTAGCCAAATCTGTGACATCTGATAAACAATAGAAAGAGACATATAAATCAGGCGGTAAGTACCTTAGTATTTTTATTTAAGGCTAGCTTTCGTGTTCAATCTTTATTAGTGGTAAGTAGCGTGAAGTAATGGCAGGGCCTGATTTGGAGTTCTGGCCGCCCTAGGTTAAATATGAATATGCACATTTTGCTTGAAATACCACTACCTATACTGAATTCATACGTTTTGATAGTTGTTAAAGCTTGCTTCTTCGTCGTCAAACGCCAAAATCGAAAGCTACAACGTGAAAAATTCCAAAAACAATGCATTTTTTGGGCTGACAAAATTGGTCTCCTATTTTTTTGGTGACAAGAAAATTTGAAAATCACCACCTACTTCCATTGAAAATTATCGTTACAAACTCATAATTTACATAATTTCCTGTTCTTTTAATATGTGTTATAAGTTTGACAAGCGAAAGGAAAAAAAAAACATCATCATATTATGGGTACATGATGCTCAGTTGGGTTTGGAATTGCCTAGTGAATTCATTCGACTTTCGTTCTACGTGCAGAAATGTTTGTTTCAGGTAAGCAAGTCAAGTGAGTGGATTAAGGACTTTAGTTGCTTTATATTTGGCTGCATTTTTTATAATGTCCGTCTGCCCCCCATGGCGCCCGCCGGCCGCCCCCTTGGTCCTTGCGCCCTAGGCTCAAGCTTTACTAGCCTGTGGGTAAATCAGGCCCTGAGTAATGTATAGTCAAAGAAGTTTTATAGTTATAGCCATAATTTAAACGCTTAATTTGACCACAGTAAACCCGTCTTTTGGAAGTACATTGTGTGTATCTTTCTGTCTGGTGGTTACAAGTTTCAGGCTCCACAGATAGAGGAATGAGACATTTGGGTCATTTTTTAGCTATTGATTGCCATTCCATTAAATAAATTAACTACTTACATGAAAAATATCTACATCCATAATTATCCGAATTTAAAATATAAAGGGTACAATAAAATTACCTAAATGTACTATTTGTAGTTTGTTTGATTCTTGAGCAATTTTTTCTAGTTCCTGCAAATAATAAAAATGTTAATAAAATACATATGTTTTGCATGTTTCATTTAAAAAACGTAGAGCCTAGCTGATTTCTCGCTCAAATTGAAGCGCCAGGCGCATAAAGAAGAATTTCATTTATAAGAAGCGTATCTGAAATAATATTCATGTCTTTATCTAGTTAATTTATGGTAACGCCATTTATATGTAGTAAAACAATCATTGATGACATCATTTATTGCAACATAATAATTATTTTGTGTAGTAGGTGCGTAACGAAACGTGCTTCGAAAGTGACGTCATTCCATTTTCTTTCAGTGTGCTTGTCATTCTGACAATATTGTTGTCTATCTCATTCACGCGCACGTTTCCTTTCCTTTCACTAAAATAAATCATTTGATTTTACGCCTTTACTCAACAAAGACGCGAGGTTTTTATGTTGTGACTTATTTAACTAATATTTATACTAGTGTATAAGTGTTTACGACTTATTACGTGTTAATTTTCTTTGAAAACATGGCACCAATTGGTAAGTAAGTTTGAGTGCAGCAGTGACCATACATACCTCTGAAGGTTTTCGGCATGTAGCAATGATTTTTTCGGCTCTGCCCTGTCTGGTTAGATACTTAACCATTCCCAGACCCAAGCCTCTATTAGCACCAGTAATTAGAATTGTTTTCATCTTGATTGCACACTCCTCTTCGTTTAAAATACTTGACGTTTAAAAGTTATCTTTTTGATATATACCTACCAATTTTATTGCCTTGATTGCGTGTCGTCAGATAGTTTCCCTTGTCTCTGTCATTTTCATTACGTCAAAATGACAATAATAGGAAATGTTTTGAGAGCTAAAAGTTTAGTAAAAGCCTTATTACTAAAGGAAAATTATTTTATTGTTGCGCGGCGAACTTTCAGCCAGAGTAAGTCTAGTAATTTTATTCGCTATCCTTGAAATATATAATACATAACCTCACTTTTTGTTGTTAAGATCTTCTGTACCTGTGGTGTTTAAAAATCTATCCAGGGCTTCCATGTCTGTTAATTTCTTTGCTAGGTCTCTTAATAATTACAGTTTTGGCAATAAATTCTTATTACTTGGATGGACAAAAAAAGGTTGTCAAAGGGAAGTATGTCAGTTGCAGACTTCTAGAATAATAATAACAAGTTCGTTATTCTTATTCAATTGTATAAGTTGATAAGAATAAGATTACAGATTAATTTGTGTTCAATTATTCAGCTGTTATATTGCAAACATGATTTAAAAAAATTGCATCAATTTATAGTTAAATCGCTTTACTGAAAAAGATAGAGATATGCTTACATTATTACCTAAAACTTTACAATTACCCACTTAAAAACAAACACCCGATTACGACATCTTGGCGAAAAGGGAATATAATGTGCTTTATTATATTTCTTGCACATTCTCATTATATTATTTTAAATGTGACACATTCTTTGAATAATTTCTTTTATTATACCAGGCGACTGGATATGTTGTAGCCGTAAAAGCAAGTTGGTTGCTCCCATAGACTGTGTCATTGAAGGTACAGTAAGTTTGTTGATCAAGCTGGGGCAGTGTGCTGATGGTCATTGGTTTATGTCTTACTGCATTGCAGCATCACTTTACTTACATGCAATAGCATCTTATAAAGCAACATTCACCTGCAAATATTATATTGTATCATACACAGCAGAGCCTAGTCTATTTTCTCCTTTCTAGTCTATTTTGGTGAACAAATGATGGCACTCTGCACAACATCTAATTAACTTCATTCAACAACACTTGTTTTTTTTCTTTTTTAATGATTGTAAAACACTCCTCTAATTTCTTAAAAAAGTATTTAAAAGTACCCACTTTAATATTTTAATTTTAGTAAAATCTTAATATCAACACACAGTTTTATACATTTAGGTGATAATTAGGATATTATGATTTATTTCTGAATAGTAAAGATGGGAATTTGAGATATATTATTCTCAACTATCATATAGAAATATTGTTTACATTCTCAGCAAGAAGTTGTAGTGTTGTATGAGAAAAATGTTGTAATCTTATGAATCAAACTAAAACTGCCTACAATCAAATCTTCATTTATAATATAATTATTCATGCATTGCTTTTAGTCTGGTTACAATCATTTTATGTATACATACATACTATGTCTTTGGCAGGCAGGAGGCCATATTTGTTTACTAAAAACAATTAAGCAAATGTAGATTATAGGTTGATGGACTGGTATCATATCTTTTAGATGGGAACTTTGATTATGACCTGGCTGTCATTGGTGGCGGGTCAGGAGGCCTGGCTTGTGCAAAGGAGGCAGTAAACAATGGAGCAAAAGTGGCTGTGTTAGATTATGTGACGCCCTCACCACAGGGCACTAAGTGGGGTCTCGGGGGCACCTGTGTTAATGTTGGCTGCATACCCAAGAAACTGATGCATCAAGCTGCAATATTAGGAGAGAGTATTCATGTGAGTTAATTTTGTTTTATCCTGCCTTACTCGACTTTCTTATAGTGATAACAATTTTATTTCTTTATTTTTAATGTTTTATTGGTTCCGTAGGCATTGGTAAGTGATATCGAAGCCTGGCTCCTACCCTTACTCCTCCCTGAGACATCCCCTTGGATTATTCTTGTGCAGGGCTAGTAAATTTTTTATTTCTGATATTTTTTAGAGTATTATAAAGTCTAATGCATCAAAGTTGTAGATTTCTAATGTAGCCATTCTGCTTGATAGAAGTAAAATATATTTAGACAATAGTCTCAATGCTCATGAAGTGCTTTGGTAAAATGAAAAAACAACAATTACTTTTATGACAACATTTTACTTAGCAACTTACCATATCAAACATCTATCAATTTAATTATGATCAAAGTAACAAGGTTGACATGATGGACATTGCATTCACAGATTTAAAATGAATGCATTTGAGATATTCATTATTGTTATTATTTTACATAATAATTGTATTTAGGTAATTAGTTGTAAATAGTTTGATAACTTATCATTTCATGTTTTTTTTATATTGTTATAGGGATTGATTCAATTAAAACTTAATTTGACAACAGTCTCCCCTTTTTATTGTCTATAGTCTTAGATTAAAAGAAAAAGGAATCATACGGCACTCGCGGCTCAAAAGTGATCCGCTTAAATTGTGGTGCATGACCACAATACGCTTTATAGCGGTAGCGGTACTCAAACTGCGACCCACGGGCCATACGCAGCTCTCTTACCTCCGCGATGTCTCCCGCTAGACCTCCACCTCAATCGCATTCGACGGCGGTGTAGCGCAGTAGTCTTTTATGTAAAATGTTGAGTTCTTCTTCCTAGTCGTGCATTCTTGACAGAGTGTTCGTTGTCATGTCTCGGTCGATTCCTGTGCCCCTGATGCAATTTCGATGCGTTGCCATGCAGTTCGATGTTTGCAGAGCGAGAACAATCATTTACGCTAGAGTGCGTCGCCGATTTAATAAGGTCTGCTCACCTTGTCGGAGAAGGCCCGTGAGCTCTTTTGTCCTCAACTTTCCCTTGCACCACAAATCGTTCCATGGAATTCTAAAAATGTAGTTATAAATGTTGAGCATCATTTTGTAAATAGATCTAAGAGCTAGACCTCTGTACCACTATTATTACGCAACGTGAGGCTTGCCTGGCCTGTCTCCTATAAAAGGTTTTCTTTCGAGATGACCTTGCCCCTTATTTGTCGAACTTCAATTCTTATCGCACTGCCTTTCTCTTTGACATTTGAGAGATATGTTACAAACTTCAGACCGCTTTGTAAATCTCTTTCAAATTTGATATTTGCTTAACTTTTAAAAAGTGACCGTGAATATAAACTATACATAATTAATTACAAGTTTAAAACTATTCTGTACTTATCCATGTCTAAATTTGATCAATAACTATTCATATGGTATAGTTATTATTATTATGAAAAGGACACCAATACCCCACTAAAGTTTTCAGAATAGAGTGTTTATAACTTTGTTATAATATAATTCTGTAAACGTTATAATTTCTCGAACTTTTCTGTAAAAAGGTTTACGAAATTGTTTTAAGGAAAGTCACTTAAAACAATTGACGTCTTAATTACTTAGTTCACGGTGGTGAGACCAATGAATTTTGGAGAGGTAAATAGGTGAACTGCTTACATTTTGCTTTTCGCACAGTACTGAACGGCATCATTGCTAAGTAGTGGGTTGCTTGCTATAAAGCTGTCTATTCTGCAATTTTCGTCATCAGGTTGTCGCTTATAATTAACGTTTGAAGGTCATCCACGAGCGCGGTTATTCGCGATCGATAGCTAACGTCCATGTAGTACCAAGGATTCAAATTAAGGTCTTTTAACACAAGATAACAAATGAATTAATTCTATTATACTTGCAGTAAGCTCGATATCTGACATCCATTTACGGATGGACTAGCGGCGGTGCCCCGTGATTTCTCGTCTACGTTAACTTTAGTTTTTCTGTATATCCCTTAGGGACCTAACCGTTTTCCGGGATAAAAATCTGTCAGACCAGATCATGAACTATATGCAAATCAAATTTCATTCAAATCCGTACAGTGGTTAGGTGTGAAAGCGTAAGAAACAAACAAACTTATTTCGCATTTATAATATTAAATAGATGGCAGATCAGGTTAATTGATTGAACAAAAAGTTTTATGAATGGAAACGCATAGAACAACTATACGTAAATAATTTATTTGAAATTTGTTTGATGAATCTGCTTATTTATCTCGTTCGTATGTTTGTATGTTTTATTTCGAGCTGCGTACTATATACTATACTACAATAAACACGTCAATGTTTATATCAATCAATCAATCAAATCATTTATTCGTTGTCATCGATAACAATAAGTTTTTAAAATTTATATAAATGTGCCTCCGTGACATGCTGAACAGCATACGAAAATTAGTTATCATTTTAAATTCCATAAAATTATAATCATAAAAGAAGCAATACATTAATCTATACATCAATAAAAATATCGAAATATCAGTATCCATTAAAATTCATTTACATTATAATAACATTTATCCGCAAAAAATTTCGTCACTATTTTTTTAAATGTATTTGTATTATAATATTTAATGCTGTCAGGTAACTTATTATACTAATTTAGGAGCCATTTCTACAACACTTTTCTTCATTAGCGCTGTTCTCCACATATTTGTACAAACTTGAGGTTTCCTACCTACTACAATGAGTCTAGTACTATATATGCCTACAGTGTTCTATAAGGGTACCCTGTAGTCCCTGAGAAGGGCAGTTGTTTTACATGCGAAGCTTAGAAATGGACTCGGCCTCAACTTCACCTTGAATGGTGACTTTCGATGCCCTTGATATGAGCACTAATAACTCTGAAAGGCATTTCTTGCAAATTAAAGTTTACCACCCATCAATGTATCAAAGGTCAGGGGGCTTATCTAGACTGATATGGCTAAAGCTTATGCTTACATTTTGTTATTTCTGACCCCTGAAGGTTTTCAATTGCTATATTTGTACCACAAAGTGTACATATTTCTCAAATTATATATATACGAGTTAAAGCTCCAATAAAGAGAGTCATACATATATAACTAGTCCAGAGGTTATATTTTTTTTTTTTTAAATTAAAAGAACTACAAAGTTGCGCTTTTTTTTATTGTTGTAATTTGCACCCGTTTTTTTTATGAAAATATAACTAAGTATTCCATTTTGACCCCGCTCCTACTAGGGGGCGCCAGGGTACTGGTGGCCCACTGGCGCCACAAGGGCTAGAGCCGCCTCTGTCAATTGCCCCCCAACTATTCGCATAATATAGGGGTTTTCAACAAGAACTTTGTTTTCTAAAACAAAATAAAACAAAAAAGTTTAGATGATGATGATTAAAATTTTTATTGAATTACAAAGAGAAAAGTTCGGCAGTTATGAATGAAAAATGACATCTGGCAAATGTCCACCACGAGCACGCTAACAGATGTCGATTCTTTCATTAAAGTTTTTAATCACTGTTTGGCAAAATGACTGGACTATTTCGTTATTCACATCACGGATTTTGAGTTTTAAGGCAGCAATCGATTCTATTGGCCCCGTTTAGACTCTGTCCTTTACATAACCCCACAAAAAATAATCTAGTGGTTTTAAATCACACGATCTGGCTGGCCACTTAACAGCTGAGTTTAGTGAAATTATGCGGTCGGGAAATTTGGTTTGCAATAAATTGATCGTTACATTGGCTGTGTGACATGTGGCACCGTCCTGTTGAAACCACATATCAGTGATATCCACGTCATCAATAATAGGCCAAAATTCGCCATGTGGTGGTTTTGGATAACCCCAATTGTTGAGAACGTCGCGGAATTGACAAATTTGGATCTTCTTCAACACTGTGGCTCACGACTGCGATGCTTTCAATTGAACGACCCGGTCGAAAACGCGTTGGAGTTGGCATATTTTGTATCGACTCAAATTTAACGACCAAATTCTTAATAGCGCTCTCAGAAGGACGATAATGTTGTCCGAAAATATCACGAATTTAACAAAATGTAATTGTAACAGAACCACTATTTTCATAGTGGATTTTAATTATTTTAATTCGATTTTCAAGCGAAATTGAATTCATTGTAACAATTGCCAATGCATCTACTACGAATACGTCAAAAAACTAAATGGCCAAACTATCATATTGTTGGTTTAGCCACAATTGAAAAACAAAGTTCTTGTTGAACAACCCTATATATCAAATCAGCAATTTTTTTAACGAATGCTAAATGCACTTTAAACCTAATAACAAAAAAATTGTATCGATATACATAAATTCTGTGTACCAAGTATCGGATTTTTTCAATAAACAAAAAAATACAAATTATTCATCTAAATTTAATTTATCGCCTTTAAAGTAGGCCCCATTGCTTGCAATACAACATCTCCACCGCTTCACCCAGTCCTCCATACATTTTTTGTAGGCTACTTGCGGTGCGGCCTTTGCCTCATTCAGCGAATTTTATTTTATGGCTTCTGTCGACACAAAACGTTTTCCTCGAAGTGGTAATTTTAACTTGGGAAATAAAACAAAGTCAGACGAAGCCATATCAGGTGAATACGGTGTTTGGTCGAGAACTTTAGTTGAATTTTTCGCTAAAAACTCTTTCACAATAATGGCGGATACTCTCACGTAAACGGTTCATGACGCCTAAATAATATTCCTTATTCACTGTTTCTCCCTTTGGAAGGAATTCGGAGTGAACCACACCACGGTAATCAAAAACCGTCAGCATCACCTTGATTTTGGAGCGACTTTGCCACGGTTTTTTGGATATCGGCTCGTTTGCAAAACGGCATTCTGAAGACTGTTGGCTTGTTTGCATGTCGTACTCATAAACTCATGTCTCGTCGCCAGTTATTATAGGTTTCATAAAGGTAGGACCCGTAGAAGCTCGGGAAACCATGCCTTCAGCGACATGCTTCCGCTGCGCCTTGT